ACCCCCCTTACGCCTCACACTTACCACCAAATTCCCATATGAGTTGTACCCATTTCCAAAATTTTCTGTTCATCATTTGTGTTAGTCATAAGCTGTTAATAAATTTTGATTAACTTTTATTGGGTAAGAGGAAGGCTGGAAATGAAATAAGGCTTTTGTTTTAGAGGACTTTCACTTGGTCTTTCTACTTCATAGTATCTGGTTGTGACCATGCTGCTAGGGATACAAGGAACGCAGGGCAAGATTGATGCACTGTTTGGTATTTATAGATTAAGAATAGTATAATGGTATAGCCCTGTCCATTGAACCATGACCTGTTCTTTATTTAAGTGTTGGGAATAATAAGGAAAATTCTAGTACCTACTGATCTAGGAACTTTTCATCAAAGAAAATAAACTTTTATAGTCGAGACACAAATTACTTTGATTGCAAAGCTTACCATTACAGACATCTGACTTTTCCACTCTTTGCTAGTGTGATAGTCTTCCATGATCTAGACATCTCAAAGCCTAGGGAAAGGAATATTCCAGTGATAATAGAGGGAGATTCCACTTCCCATATTTATTAAACAAAGTTCCAATTGAATCAAACAATCTCCTCTCCTCTTAAATATAAATCTCAAAGTCTTTGTTTCGGCCTCTTCAATCCTCTTTTTCTGTTTTCATGCAAATTCCTCTCTCCTTCAGTTAATAAGTAGGAAATGGTCTCAGGCATTCTATAATCTACTTGACCGAGTTTAAGAAGTTTTGCTTTCCTATAGTCCGCCAGTAATGCCTCCATTTGCTTCCTCTTTTCAACTTAGGATGCCCAATGCCTGTCATTTCTGTCTTAATGAAGTAAAAATATTTTTGAGGTCTTACAAACCTTATAACCTGGAAGGAGTGAAATACAAAAGAACAACTACCTAACTATTTTCACAGACTTCTTTTGTGGCGAGATGCAATTTTTTATGCTTTAGAAGGGCATAGTCCAGGAATCTTGGTCATTTTCTATTCCAATGGAATTCCTGGGTTGAATGTAGGCTGGAGAATATGTCTTATTTTATAACCGTACTTAATAATCTTAGATGTCACGTGGTCTGCTATTTAAGTTCTGATAAAAAATTTGAAAATTCTATGCTAAAAGCTGAGAAAAATATTTTCAAATGATCATAACATTTACCCTGGATTGCAGGTTGAAAGCTTTGTGCATTTAAGCTTTACCAGTTCTTGTAATGAGAGATTATTGTGCACTAAGATCCCTACTGGTTCACTAAAATCTATTGCCTATCCTGTCATAATAATGTAGAAGAGAACCTTTTTTCACACTTTAGGATGTTTGAGTAGGTGGAAGCCATATTTCCCTTTTAGTTGTTTCTCAAAGTAAGAAAAAAAAGAGATTTTATTCAACTCTGCATAGTTCGCAATAGTCAAAGACTGAGCTTGATGCCATCAATGCTTGGATTAGACTAGAGATGATGTGCTTTTTTCCTCTCTCTCTCTCTCTCTCTCTCTTTTCTTCTAAATACCTTTTGCTGTCCATTTTTGCAGTTTAACTTTAACCTAGACTATGGCCATGCTTTGCATAGGATACAACTTGTCTTCTATGACTGTTTACATAAATACCTTTTTCTGTTGTGTTATCTTCTCTTTTCATCAAATAATGCTTAAAATGGTAGGAGTGAACAAAACTGACAGAATAACCTTGAGAAGAATGTAACTATAAGGACAAAAATTTCATTTTAGAATGAGAAAAAAACTATGTTCTGAGAAGATGATTAAAAGACAAGCGACCCTCTGCTTCAAATGTAAGAAATGTATTGATTTGATTATATGAATTAACAAACTTGAAACAATAGGGTAAAAGATAAACAGTATTGGATGAAATTACATAAACAAACAAAAGAATGTGCATGTCCTTGGAACTACTAAATAACAATGAAATTAGTTGAATTACATACAAATTATCCATTTGAATAAATAAGAAAACAACGTAGTTCATTTTTAACTAAATCTGTTTAATTACTCAAAGAAGCAAATTTAAATATTATTCTCCGCGTGAGATTTGAAGGAACAGGACCTCATCTATGGCTTGAATAAAGTTTACACATTTTGGTACATGATGTGGACTTCTGCATGTACTTTCTTCTCTGTTATGTTTGATCTCTAAAGTCAGTTTATTCATTGATTCTTTTCCGAAACATCAGGTCATTTTTCCCTCTGCAGCACTTACAAATGAGAACTAACAGTTAAAATTTGAGTTTGCAGTGTTGTCATGTTCTTGTCCGATATGTCAGGAAGAGAACCTTTATACAGGAAGTATGGACAGGATCCCATTCTCCATAAAATTTTGTGTACCGTACGTTGATCAATTTAATTGAATCCTCTGGTTCTTGTCATCTTACTTCTATTATTTACCTATCTTTTCAGAGCATATGTATACTTCAGTCACCCAATACCTAAGGACCTGGTTGCGCGCATCAAGAATGACACAAGTGTCATACCCCGTATAGGTGCACTAGGAGAGGTAATGATCACATGTCTCTGTCTACAATACTACATGCATCATGAAAATGATCTCTTCACAAGTTTGACTGAATCTTCTTTTTCCTTCTTTTTTTTTGGCACAATGCAGATGAATTTTGAGTACTTTCCAATAGACAGCCAGGTAATTTGGCAAATATCTCGATGAACACCTTTTTTGCTTTACTTGGAGCATTTAGTTCAATATCTGTTTATAAACTGGGAATTATATTTATTTATTTTTACAATTTTGACTAATGAAATATTATGAAGACATGAAATGGACCTGAATTAAAAGGAATAGATGTAGAAGATTCACATAGAGGATCTCAACTAATTCGTAATTGAGTACTCATCTGTTGATTAATTGAAGAATTATGCAGATAGCGACTTTTTTAATCTGTCCGTTTTTATCACAGGGATTTGTCACTGACCATGAAAGAGCACTTGGAGAGTTGTTTGGTGAAAGTGCTCAAAATTCCCGGCGTGCTGAAGCGTCCTTGAATGTAATGGCCTCAAGAATTTCCACTGTCTTTGCTTCACTGAAGGTAACTTGAACTTCACCAATGCTCTTTCATCTGAATTTTATAAACAAACCAAAAGACTACTGGTAAAAGCCTTGAATTAGTTTATGTTGCAATTATTCTATCAATAAAAAAAATTTGTTGAAAAGGTTGGTGCAATTATGATTCTCTTTAGGTAAAAGTAAAGTTTTTTGGTGGTGTAAAAGACATTGCATTTTCACGAATGTCTTTGATTTTTATTTGGGTCTCTTCCAGTTACTGTTCCCTGTGACCAACTTAATTTTGCTAAAACTCTTGTCTTTACATCCAGGAATTTCCTTTTGTGCGTTATAGAGCTTCCAAGGGACAAGATGGATCAACAGCGACAAATTTCCGTGAATTAGTTGCTGGAAAGCTTGCTACAGCCATATGGAACAATATCACTACGTATAAGTCTAGTATTCCTAACTATCCACAGAAGGAGACATGTGAATTATTGATTCTGGACAGATCTGTTGACCAGGTTTGTAATTGATTTTGTTGATAAAATAATAATCAGCACTATCTATGTTTCGTTTTTAACTTGATGAAATGATGAATCTTCTCGTTTAGATTGCTCCTGTGATTCATGAATGGACATATGATGCCATGTGCCATGACCTGCTTGATATGGATGGAAATAAATATGTACATGAGGTACGCATTGCTTCATGTTCTGGATCTCTTATATCAATATTCTCCTGAAGTTTGACCGAAATGTATTCACATCAGGTTCCTAGCAAAACAGGTGGTTCACCTGAGAAGAAGGAAGTTCTTTTGGAAGATCAGGATCCTGTCTGGTTGGAGCTACGGCATACTCATATAGCTGATGTAAGTTTCATGAATTACCTTATTCCTTTAATGCTTGTGCATGTCATATGTACTTCAACTCCTAACTTGAAGACTTCATCAGGCTAGTGAACGACTCCATGATAGGTTTACAAACTTTGTTTCTAAGAACAAGGCAGCACAGATGGAGCAGAGGTTGGTGTTTCTAAAGCTATGAAATATAATTTTTATTCCTTTGAAAACTTTGTGGAAACCTGCATCTTAATGAGTATAGCACGTACTCTGCTCCATGTCTGTGGATGATGCAGCATTCAGTCACTTGTTAATTGTCTTAGTTGTTACCAATTGATCATAGATGTGATTTGTTAACTACAGATGAGTAGATTTACAGAATTTTATTCATGAAACTTCCTTCTGATGATTTCTCAATTCAAATTTATTTTTACTTAGAGATGGAAGTGAATTATCTACACGGGACTTGCAGAAGATGGTTCAAGCATTGCCACAGTATAATGAACAAAAGGAGAGACTATCTACCCATGTCGAGGTTTGTTCCTTGGTCAACTGGATCCATGCGTGGACTTCTTTGTTTCTTTCAAAAAGCAAACTTAAAGCTTTATCCCTTCTTCACATTTAATAGTTCTTATGGAGTAACACTTTAACAATTAAAATCGTTCTTGAATAGAGGTGGACTATAAGAAATTAGACTTTGAGGTACTTCTGGATGTACGATTCTTAGGAGCTAGTTTCATTGGTTTAGGTTTGTATTCTAAATTTGTATAATCCCTAATAACAGCCAGCTTCTTACTGACCCCTTCTGTGGTAGAGCTCATGGGGATGGTCATATCTTATTCGTACACAAAACCTGCTGCAAGTGTTTAAAAGTCATAGCATCTTCCATGTCGTTGGTCTTACCTATGTTAATATCCATATAGTTATTCTTTAGTTATTTAGGAACAATTGAATTTGACAATGTGATGAACCTAGCCTGCAATAAAATGCTGAAGTTTATTTCGTTACTTGATTGATCAGATTGCTGGTGAGCTTAATAAAATTATCCGAGATACGGGTCTTCGGGAACTTGGACAGCTAGAACAGGATCTTGTCTTTGGCGATGCAGGAACAAAGGAAGTTATCCATTATCTGAGGTCGAAGCAGGTGGAAATTTTTGTGCTGGCTCAGAAGAAATATTCGAACTCATTGTAATTTCCACTACAAGGCATGGTCTAAGTAACAACTTTGCTGCATGCAGGATACTTCAGGTGAAAATAAGTTACGCCTGATGATGATTTATGCATCTGTGTATCCAGAAAAATTTGAGGGCGACAAAGCAGCGAAATTGATGCAGGTATTTACTACATGCTAAATTTTTGAAACAGTCTGAATTCCATCTAGCATATCATTGAGGTTTTGTTCAAACAATCTTATGGTAGATTGGCACAAGTATGTGGACACATAAATAACTGGAGAGTAGTAGTTTTGTCTGTTGATTTAAGGGGAAGAAAGAATCTTCTGAAGAGCAACTGGAATGATTTCGTGATGCATCAAGAAAAATGATGCCCGAAAATCACTGAAGAATCCATAGAATGCTTAGTATCAGAAGAGTATGAATAGGATGTTGCAAACAATATAATTTTCCAAGTTCAAATGTTGGGGTTTCTATGCATGCTTCCAAATAATACAAGAACAATAAAAAAAGTAAAAGAAAAAGATGGTTTCTATGAACAACAATGCAGTTGGCTTAATTGAGGCAGTTTTCTGTTGTGATTTTTCGAGCATTTATTTTACCAAGTACAATTATAATGTCACTGGATGTAGTTTAGAAAATGTGACATATGAGAAGAAAATTTTGGAGTGAGAACAATAGATCAAGAGGAAAAGTTCTAATTTCTGTAACAATTTCACCATGTGGACCAACAAAAGCTATCTCCTCTACATCAATGCTCTCAGGATTTCTTGGCCGCCTTGGTTACTATTTATAGAATGAACCAGTTTTGGAGAAAATAGTTCTCAACCAAATGTTTTTATGCTATAAGAAAAATATGGCCATCCCTAGTTTATCCATATTCTATGTCCTAGAATCAACTTGTAGAGTTGTTATTTTTTGTCTTAAATGCATGGCTATGTTTTGTATTGGCTCATTTGTACTGCTACTTGAATCTAAGGAAAGTTTGAAAATTTTAATATAGATTCTTTTTTCCCCTAGTTAGCAAAACTGTCACCTGAGGATATGAAGGCTGTGAAAAATATGAGAATGCTAGAGGGTTCAGAAAAACGGAAGCCAAGTGGAAGCTTCTCCCTGAAGTTTGATTCGCAAAAGGTAAACATTAAAACTATCCTGGAGTCTTCAGCTCTCATAATGACTGAAATGAGACCTGACAGTTGCTAGATTTTGTTGTTTGCATATTAGAAAGGGAATGCAGCTAGAAAGGATCGAACTGGAGAGGAAGAAACATGGCAGCTATTCCGGTTTTATCCCGTGATAGAGGTTTGCTATAAGACTTCTCAATCCTCCTTTGTATATAATTTTGCAGAAGTAAACTCGCAAGATATTTCATCTTTTGTTTAGTGCTTATAAGATTGGTAGTATAAGAGGGTTGCAGTTTTTGTTACCAGCCATATTATTATATCTTCTTCATTTTCTAGATTAGGTTGACTTTTAGTATGGAATAGCAAATTAACTGCCAACTTTGCGACCAGATAGAGGTTAACTTCAAATTTCTACATGAACTGTAGGATTTAGGTCCTAATTGACTTACTGAATCCACTAAACGACCTAGCAATGAGAATATCTAGAAGATCATATGACTGGAAGATCTTATTGCATGCTCCACATAGAGGATACCTTCCCAGTACTTTTTTGAAATGGAAATTGCTTAAAGACCAATTCACCTGCTTACCATTGAAGGGTTCTGAATTATATTCCAGAAAACTACCATACTTGGAAGCAGGGTCAATTGCCATTGCCTCTCTTTCTAGAACTCTATTTTTTAATTTGGGGACTACAATGCTCACAAAGAAAGAAATAATGCTTTTATAAGAGATGCTTCTTCAAATTGCCATTGTGTGAAAGCAGAATACATTCAGCTTTGGTTACATTGTAGACTTCCCAAATGATTCATGTTTAATTAAATAGCTCTTTGAATGGCTTAGCTCATACTTCATACTTCCTGAATGATATAACCAATCTTGCTTCTTTCAGGAGTTGGTTGACAAAATGTGTAAAGGTGACTTGTCAAAAGATGATTATCAGTGCATGAACAGTTCTCAAACTGCTCCTCGTGGGGTCAATGGATCTTCTGCAAGGAATGTCCCACCAAAGGCCACTACTGAATCTACTAATCCACGCTCAGTGAGATCAAGGAGGACTCCAAATTGGGCACGTTCTCGTACTTCTGATGATGGATATTCAAGGTTCTCCCATGGAAAAATCGTCTTTATTAGAGTTCCTTTTTTCTTTTTAACCTAGAAGATCCAGGCCTCCTGGACTTCCATATGAAAAAACTGTCACTTTTTAGTAAAAAGAGTACCATATTTATTCATTTAATTTTTCATTACTATTTTCCATGGAGTAGGATTTGCATAGCATGCAGCATCTAATTTTAAATATGTTCGAAAAATTGTTCATTGCATATTTAACATTCCTCATCTTGTCTTGTGTGTCTTTGTTGGAATTTTCTCTAGTGACTCTAATCTCAGAAGTTTTTCAACTGATTTTAAGAACATGGGACAACGGATTTTTGTTTTCATTATCGGTGGTGCAACTCGATCTGAGGTAATTCCATAACTTTTGATTTCCATCCACTGCCTTTCCACTTAGGCATCTGAAATGGTATATTGTTGATTTTCTTCTACGCAGCTTAGGGTTTGTCACAAGCTTACAGCAAAGCTAAGGAGGGAAGTGGTCCTTGGTACAACTAGTCTAGATGATCCACCTCAATACATCACGGTAATTATACTTCATCCAGGAGTTTTTGGTCAGGTGTCTTTGACTTCGATTTTCTAGAATTCAGACAATCTTCCTCTCTTAAAATAAAATTAAATTGTGTGAATAATTCTTTACATGCTTGCAAAACATTCATCTTAAAATGATCAATCACTCGGAGACTTCTCTAGATATCATTCCATTATTCATGAGCTAAACTTTTAGTTTTACATAGATGAGTTAATTAATCCATGTCAGATTAACCACTTCAATTTTGGTTGTATGAGAATATTGAATCTATTAAAAGGGTCTTTTGCAAAGGCATGCAAGCAAAGTTACCTATTAATCTCTGATAGTCCTTCTCATCATTTCAACATCCAAATTGTTTGAAGTGTAATCTTACTGGAGAAGCAGCTTTTCAGGCTATTATAGTGTTATAAAAATTGCCAAAGTTAGAAACTGTGGTGATGGCTGAAATCAGAAAAAGGAATTAGTGCATCGCTTTCGTAACCCTAATAGTCAAGTGAAATATATCCTCAGTCTGAACTCATCTCATCTTGTTTCACAGAAACTGAAACTGCTATCAGAGAAAGAGATTGCAGTAGATCCTGGCCTCGGAATTTAATGTAGTATTTGGGATTTGTAGAGTACCTTTTTTCGTTGACACCCAGAAGGTCAGTGAGAAAGCTAAACCAATCATCGCTTTATGTTTTTCCTCTCCTTTTTCTTCCATTTGAAGAAACTACTTGATCCCTGCATCCAAAACCAACTTTCTTTAAATTTTAAAAGTGCAGGATGCACATGGCAGTTGCTTAGTTTCTGGTGCTTCTTTTATTGTTTTCACGAGAAGAATTTGATTCACTGCAAAGGCATATATCAATTTTAAAGAAGGCTTCATGCTACTGGAGTCTGGATTTACACATGGCAGTTGGTTGACTGCTTTTATACTAATCTGCAGCTTAGGTAGAAACTATCTATAAAAGAAGATATTAAAGAAACTTCCTTCCAACATTCATGAGGCTGTGAAGGAGTTTGAGTACAAGTTTGCTTTTTGTTTTAAACTTCAAACACTAAGCAGGATTACAGTCTTGAATTTTTGTAATTGTATTAAATATAGTTGGCCAAGTTTATCTTAAAAGAAGAAAGATTGTTTGTATCTGTAAAAGGAAATTTTCTGTTTTAATAGACTATCTTCAATGCCTTTAATTTGGTCCAAAACTGGAGTCAATTGGTACCTTCTCAGTTGATCAAACTTTATATATCATTTGCTTACTACTAAAATTTCTAGTTAAAATTGTCATAACATTACACTTAATAGTGTTGAATGTAATTCTTTTCAAGGCACAAAATTTTGTAAAGAATTTCATATGGCAAAGGTGTTATTATTATAGGATATTTCATCTACTGAAAATCAAGTTACTTGACAGAAATCAAATGAGAATGAAATGAAATGTAACATAAATGCTAGCTTTGATATTCATAACAGTCCAACTGCAAGAGGAGATTTCATCAATGGGCAAGCAAGATTTTTAAATAAAATACCTAGCAGTTATTTACAGAGATTATGGATGTTCTGGAAACTCTCAGTTTGTTGAAGAGTGGTTATGGTAATACTTGTGTGGTAATTGAAACAGATAATAAGTTAGTTCATCAAGCTCTTGAAGGAACATTTTAATAATTCTTATTTTGTTTTCCATTTTTCTAGTTAGAAAATCACTGAATCAAGGTGTAATTGTTGATGTTTTACACCTTCTTTGGATGGTTGTTAGTCATTGTATTGTATTGTTAGTTCTTTGCCACAGCCCACATGAATGATAATGATAGCTTACACTTACATGAAATGGAGTACTCTTCTTCTTGAAGACACTTTTTGGCCTATGTATGGTTAGTTTAAATTAAATGTTTGTTTTGATTGTTACTTAAATTTTATTGTATCTTATTGTTTAAATTCATCGTTAGGTAACAACAAAAAAATCTATTTTATGAAACGACTAATTTGGTGTGATCGCGTCGTTACCTCAACATTTTCTTCTCATTTTGTCTTTATTTATTATTTAATAATCATATTTCATCTTTTATCCTACCTTTTCATTCTAGCTCGACCCCGTAGTACCCTACTTTTCTTGCAGGTTAATCATATTCAAATTATGAATATGTGACATTATGAAGAACAATACAATCTATCCAAACACTATATTCATTAAACACAGTATAATACGATAACAATATGGTACATCTTTGATGTACTAACTAATCTTCTAAATGGGGGTCTGCCCACCATCTTTTATTTCTAATGTACTAATTGAGAAGACACTTTTAATTTATGTACTAACTAATCTTCTATCCTACTTCTCGTCAGAGGCGTATCCAGGATTTTGAGATGATGGGTGCACTATTACAAAAAGGTGGATCTAAGATATAAATTTGATCGATTTAACATTTAGGTTCTTATCACTAAAATAATTAAAATTTTAAAATTATAGGTCTAAAGTTATTTTTACCTATCCAAACCACTTAGAGAGACATTACCCAATTTTAAAAAGAAAATAAAACAAGATAACTAAAAGATTCAAATTTCTAACCTCACTTTGAGAGGTGCACCTAACATAATCGCACGATATAATACTTCAAGTGTGGGTTCACATATCTATATTTAAATATTTAAAAAAAATATAATACTACTATATATGATTTCAGGAGGAGAGCATGGGTTCACGTGAACCCGGTGACCCCTTCCTGGATACGCCTCTACTTCTCGTCCTCCACATCTATCGAGGCTCATATTATACCTTATCAATTTACCCTCAATATTTCTTAGGCATATCTCTACCCATCCTCAAGCCTACTAACGTGAGTCGTAAATGTTCCTTTTTTTTTTTAACCAGGATAGTAAAATTATATGTACTATAGTAAATTTATAATTAAATTTATTTTTACTGTTACAGTGTGTATAGTTTATAGTTTTTTAATTCCTCTAGCGAAATGTACACACTCAACGTGCATTTAGCCGCAGCTTCGTGCTTGAATTGATAACACTTGGGCTACTGCTGAAAATTTCGATTTGAGAAATCCATTTTCGAGATTTACAGCATTCAGCAATGGATTCGATGCTTCCGATTGCGATTCTGTCGGCGATCATCGGAATTGTGATTGCTTTTCTAGTTTTCGGGAACTATTTCCAAAAGAGGAAATCGGAAGTTGAATCTGTCGCCAAGCCGGAGACAATTCAAACCAATCAGAAGACTTCAAAGCCTCAGCATTCTCACAAAAATACTTCGAAGAAAACGCAAGCTAAATCACATTCTCACACCGCCGATCATAAGGTAAAATTGACCCTTACATTTACTACTACTATATTTCTTTTTTAATTTTGAAATTTCTCTCTTTTTTCCCCTGGCTCTAGGGTTTGTTCATGCTTTTGGTTACTGAGTTATTTAAATCTCTTAATTTTGCGTTGGAAATGAGCAAATCTGTTGTGCAGCTTTGATAATCTTTAGGTATTCAATCAATTAAGGACGCTTCAATCTCAAATTAGTGGAGTTGGCTTCTTTGTAGACATTTTTGTATCAGTTTAGCTCTAAGGCGCACTTAATTTAGTATTTTTGTCATAATTAGACTACTTTTAAGCAATCACGCTGCTGCAACATGATACAATTAAGCTAGGGACAACATTGAAAAGTAA